GGTTTCAACGCAGATACTATCCAGAAGTTAGTCAGGAAACAAAGCCGGAAATTCACTTGCAGATTAATATATTCTCAGGTCAAACAACCAGAAATCAAGAAATGGGTAAAAAACAGAAAAAGAACAGAAATTATCGCAGGTTTCTTCAGAAAAAACAATGTGGAAGTAGCATTCAGGCCACATGCCAGGGTATCTCATTTTCTTTTCAATGCCAAAGATAAGGTCGACAAGTTGGAAAAATCTGGAGTTTATAAGCTTGAGTGTCCGGAGTGTAATAGTGTTTATGTGGGACAATGCGGACGAAATTTCCAAAAACGGTATGCTGAACATGAAAGGTCCTACAGACTGGGAAAAAATGATTCGACGTTTTCAAACCATTTCTTGGCATGCAACAACAAGTTTCCGAATCTAAACGATACGGAAATTCTGCACTATGCAAGGAAGGGTTGCAAACTCAATTATTTAGAATCCTTGGAAATTCACAAGCATAAACATTGCGGGTGTAACCTGTTAAATGACCAAATCGATTTAATTTACTCTCCGGTTTTTAAATTGGCACATGTGCATTGTGAACTGTAAATTCAGGTACTCAATCAAGTACCTGAATGGTATATATTAGCGAATGTAACGAATCATTCTTAGTTTATTGTTTAAGTTTGAAAATGTCCATATAGGTCGAAACTGCAGTAACATTAGTTACAAATAAAAGTGGTAAAAAACATAGAAATTTTCATTTCTCTTTTCAACTCGGTATAGTTTTCGACACTGAACGAGGTGACAACAACTCTGTCACCGAGTTGAAACCCGTTCAGCAAAAAGTTCAGATAAATGCCACAGAGATCACCTCACTTCTGCGGAAACACAAGGATAAGCCAATGCATGGGGTCTTCTTCAATAACTTTGGAGACCTTGGCTCATCAAAAGCGTTCACTTTTCTCAGGTCGAGTGGGCTGACCATGCTATCAGCATGTTCAGCCATCTACGGCACTCTTGAACTATTCGTTCCCCACCCTCAGGCTCATACAAGTTAATAAGCCTGATGTAGCACTTCTTGACCACCAGAGCAAAACGATATTTGTCTTAGAGTTTTCAGCTCCTGGCGAGACGAATATCGTCAGAAAAGAGGAGGAAAAAGGGATAAAATATCGAGATTTCCTCTTCGAACTCTGCAGACTCTATCCAGATCACTCTGTCAAGATGGTTGTTCTGATTATTGGAGTCCTTGGTAGAATGAGGCCCTCCCTACTCTCAAATCTTAAAATCATACTGGCTTGCCGCACTAAGGCAGAAATCTTAGCCGGATAGATACAGAAGGCTATCATTCTTGCCTTACTGTGCTTGCTCAGGGACCCAATGATCACTTACCCCACGGTATGGGGAGTGGTCGTTGGTTGATAATGCTGGCGCGCCCCCCCGAATGTAACGGGGCTTCGGGGAATAGGGCCTGACCAGCGCATATTTCGGTTAAAAAAATAATAATAATAATTATTCACGTAGGAAAGAAGAATACAGAACAATATAGTGAGAAGATGAAGGTGAATAAATGAGTACTCGATAAGTGTTTTTCACACTTGTTTCGAAAAAATACAATGCAATAAAACTTATAAATAATAAACATACTGACTGACAATTGCAGAAGTATGAATGAATTCAATGAGTATCAGACTTGTCTAAATCTAAGAATAAATATTTACAAATCATTCGCACACACGCATATAAATGTGTAACTATAAATTATTGTGAGTGGTATAAGTTTGTTTGTAAAACATTTAAATGACACAAATGTTATAAGCGGTGTGTTAGAAGTTATAATAAATAAATAAGATAAAATGAACAATCCTGATATACTAATATAAGATATGAGGTGCTATTGTAAAGTAATAACCATTTTGTTCTTTCACACATTTTTCTGTTGGTAGTAGTTCAAAATATAGAAGTGCTGTGCCACTTGCGCCACCTACACATTCCACAGTAAAAAAGTGAGTGTATCCTGTTCAGTAGTAGCAAGTCAGACTGTGAGCGATTACAATATATTTTTCAACAAAACAAGTGTTTTATTTCACAAACGCAGTAAATAAGTAACAGCCAACAGGTCATGGACCCAGAACACTCAGACATCCCTGTGAGGCAAAAAAAACAGTTTTGCGAAAAACCTACCCTGTTTATACTATAGCCTGACCAGATGTTATAGTGAAGCGAGTCCGCCAGAGTGATATCAGTTGTTCAAAGCATCTCACTATTTTATCGGGTAGGTACCGCACGACATCTGAGCGAATTTAAGATGAGCTCATGCGATAATGTATCAAATAACTAACGGTAATCAATCAAGTCCATAGAGAGGTTACGCTTATACTGTTAGTCTAATCAACAAATTGAAAAACATTAAAAATACAGATAAAGGACCGAAAAATATGAGCGATAGCTCATTCGATTTGGAATCACCTCTAGAAAAATGTTTTTGAAGGATTTTGGTGCAGGTAAAAAATTGCATATTTTATTAAAACAACGATAAAAATAAAATAAAAACAACAATAAAAATCAATTGGCGCTCCGGGGCGACTTCATCGATTCCAGTGGCGCATTTGCTTTTTCAGCTGCAGGAAAACCAGGAAAAACCTGCAGCACCACATCACCTGAAAATCTTGATCCAACAATGTCCTCTCTCTTGTAAGGAAAAGAAAAATATTTCATTCTGTCTTTTATCTGACTAGGTATAAGCATTTTTATTTGTACTTTCTGTCTAACTGACAGTAAAAAAATAATTTTGATAAGTAATTTTTCTGGAAAAGGGTGTCTCCAGAGGCTCCAATAGATTCAATACATCGCCAGAACACTTCGTGACACAACCATCGTCAAACTTAAACCAGTCCGTTTCGTCTTTGACCAATGCGTAATAATGGCCAGATTTAACGCCAGAACCACAGTGAACAATGACTGCATGAATATTATCATAGTGGTCTGCTAGATTGAAAAGTTCATCTATTTCGAACCTTCCAAAAAGTTTCTTGCTCCCGTCAGAAGTTGAGTCTTGTTTGAAGATCATCAGTGTTATTAAATTGATACAGTTTATCATGGTGGCTGGAAGACGAAACGTCGGATAGCAAATGTGGAAACACCATTATGTAGCAGGAAAAAAGTGGCAATGTGGAAGTGCAATTCATTTTCGAATCATTCGAAAAATAAAGCCAGAAAAAAATAAAAAACCATTTTCCGAAATTTCTGTTTTTTCCGGATATCTCCGGATACTCTCGGAATATAAGAACTTTCTCAGAGGCATATTGTTAGTCAAGTAAATGCGCAACTTTGCCTTATTTAACCATCTTCGTATCTCTCATAGTTTCCGAGATCCCAATGGTGAGGATCAAATTTGAAACACCCTGTATATATGTGCACAAGTTGTAAGTTTTCATTAGTAATACCTACATAAAAAGCATAAATTCTTAAGACTCAAAACTTCCGACATACGGAAGCGGTACATTTCTGTACTAGCAAGTAACATATTACGTTGTTGAGGATATTGTTGCGAGTTGAATTTTACTATGATGTATTTATATGTAAGACTCGCCAATTATCACATTAGAACACCGAAAACACAACCAAATGCAATTATTCAACTCGAAATGGCTACAAACTAGTTAACACACGAAACCTGTTCATCAAATTCCCTAATGATAATTATATAAAGTCTATCCAAATCCAAGATGGAGTAAAACAAAACAAAACCGAAGCGTGATGTTCACGTGATCGCCCAGTGTCAGATGGAAAACGCAGCATTCATTGGTGAATTCGCCTTCTTGGTACGAGTTCCGTACCAGCGCAGGGTTGTAATCAGTCGTTTGCGTGTTTGTGTGGCGTGCGTTATAGTACCTATATTGTTTAAAATTGTTTTCCAAGATGTCCAGTACAGACACTGCTGGTGTCACTGTGAGCTACCCTCTGAGTCAAGCCAGGAAACGATCCAAAAAAGACATTTGAATGTCGAGATGAAAGAAGTGATTTTAAATGTGTTCAAATATATGATGGAATCGGCCGATACTTGATGAAAATCCATAACTAACGTATTCCAAAAACACTTTATTGTGAGATTTTCACTAAATTGTTTTACAAAAACGCAACACGTGTTTCGCCATACAATGGCTTCATCTGGCGTGTCTTTCAACTAATTCTACACATTCAATACTAAATATATATATAGTTTATGGTAAAGAGTCACAGCGGAGAAATAGGAGAAGTGTGTTCGGCATGTGATATCGGAACTCGAGACAAAGATGTGGAAGCTTGATAACATAATAGAGGCACAAATCGAGCCACTGATAATTCAGATTAGTGAGGATGACACTACTGATGAAGAGACAAATTCATCCAGTTGAATAATTTTGATTAATATTCCTTTTGATTTTATATTAAATAAAAATTATCAATAAAGAAATAATTACGTTTCTTTTCATATAATGCTTGAGTACGCTGTGAAAAATCCAATGAAAATATTTTTATATTACACATATTATCTGCATTTTTCCCGTTAAACTGCAAAACTTGTGTATTTCACTTGTTATAAAAAAGTTTTCCTAAGTATGATATAGCATTTGCGATCAACAAGATGTTGGTTCTGAATACGACCCTGGCCAATTCTTGGGATTTTCAATATCACGTGCGTAGGGCATGTCAATGTTTACATCCACTCTATCTTGGGTTTGAATTTGCTTTAGTTTACTTCGAGGTGATGAATGTGAACAAAAAATTTCTGTTCATCAAGTTATATCTTGAAATAAACCATATGTTTATTAAAAACTATCTATCGGCGGTACACAAACAGACTCGAAAGGGTTGAGGATGACTATTTGAATAAATGTTTCTGCAGGATTATTCTTTGTTGACATCCATTAAAAATTTTGCCCATTTTTCCTCCAATGACATCACAAACGTGGCGGCAAAATTATTGACATTTCCCAATCCCTCTATATACGAACCTTGAATTTTACCAATATTCCGTTTTATAGTTCCAATATTTCCGCAATGTGTCGTACTAAGAGACTTCAAAATAAAAATCAAAATCAAATTTCATTGCATTTCCGGATATCCGAGACATATCAGATGATGGTAATAGTGTAATAATAACAAATAAGTTAAGAATACTATTGAAAATAGCCCATTTTCCAAACGTATTCAAACTGTCCAGACAAAACTTGTAAATAAAAACTCGGGAAAGTAGTCAACAAGCTACTGATATGGCAATTACTGGGAAAATATGATTATTATCTTCAAGTGATTACAATGAAAACGTTATGTGCAATATCCTAATCTATTGATCGAGGTTATTATCACCTGCCATACCCTAAAATGATCTACAAACTAGCGTTCAAAAATTTCAAACTAGCCTTTCCTATTTTACATACTGCAAAGTTGTCAACCACCCCTCTCAACAGGGATAAGCACAAGTAAGTATTTATGAATGTTTTACAAAAAAGCCTCATGACTGTTTTTTCAGCTGCAAATTATTGATTGTTGGTGGTGGAACGGGAGGGTGCGCTGTCGCAGCCAAATTCGCCAAAAGTCTCAATAAAAAGGATCTAGTCATATTGGAACCGAGCGAACATCATTATTATCAGCCTCTATTCACTCTGATCGGGGGAGGAGTGGGATCAGTGGAAACAGCTAGAAGGAATGAAAAAGATGTTCTACCCAAGAATTCTGTTTGGATACAGGACCAAGCTGCAGAATTCATTCCCAAGGCAAATGTAGTTCATACAACAGGAGGTCATACGATAGAGTATGATTACTTACTCATAGCTGTGGGCTTAGATCTTCGCTATGATAAGGTAATATGAGAATATATATAATATAATTATTGCAAAATATAATGATTTCTTCAGTGAACTCTTATGAAATATTTAATTTATTTTCTAATTACTTTTCTACAGTCTAATTGAAATATAAATGTATGGATATGTAAATGAATAAAATAATTGCTACTATACAGACATTGGCCACAAAGAAATGTTTTGTCTGTTTCTGTAAAGGACAAATAGTAAGTCTCAGACTGCAAAGAGTGGAAAATGAACAGTCACTCCAAGAATGTGCTCAACTGAAAGACCTGGTATACAGACGGGTCGAAAGAATAGTATAGGATTATTCTTAGTCTTATAATAATAATCTCTTTATTTACTCAGATTGATTTGTATATCCATAGGAGCAGAAGTACAAATGAAAAAGAGGAAAACGTCAATGTACAATATTGAAAAGAAATAAAACTGTACGAAATAGATAATGTCACAAAGTTGTAAATTAATAAAATGTGTAAAAAAATAAAATAAATATACATATACACGCACGCACGCACGCACGCACACACACACACACACACACGCACGCACGCATGCACACACACGCACGCACACGCGCACACACACGCGCACAGGCACACACACACACACACACACTCTCGGGGAAGTCTAAATTGGTTTTTCTTTTTTTCGACGTCGGCAGTTCGAGAGTTAAATCAATTGAAAACATGAAAATTTACAAAGTAAACTAAATTTCATAAACAATTCTTATTATGCATTCAGACTACATTTTTGCTTCATGACTGTGTCTTCTTTCATCATAAAATCCCAACCGATTCTAATAACATACAAAAAATGAGCTAGGATGTTTACAATGAGGTACTCCCATCCGGGCTGATGCACAATAGTATACCAAAAATTTACCGAGATGTCCACCCTGATGTTTCAGGTTCCATATCTTGGTAAACTATAAATTTATCATTTGATAAAAACATTTTACAGTAAACTAGTAAATCAAAAGATTTGTTATTACAATAACTATAAGATTTTTGAAATATGCTGTACAGCGGCTTCTCTTCACAGTGCAGAATGTTCATACTATTCATAAATTGCACAACTGCAACATTTCTTGATCAAGATGATATTTTTTTACTAACCTGGTATACTAAAATTTCAGACCGGTATATTAACAACTATTGGTAATGAAACATATAAGTAGCTCTTATCTAAATTTTTATATACTTCTTTACTATACACACATAGTATTGGATTACAGATAAAAGTAATCAATACTGTAGCAGTTCTTTGACAGAAGAAGTTGTTTTAGTCTTGATTTGAAGATGTGTACATTTTTAGAATTTCTGATATTGTCGGGGAGAGTATTAAAAAATTTGCAGCCCTGAAACTCGAAACTTCTTTGGAAAAGAGCAGTGCGATGTTGACTAGGTAATAATAAGTGGGCATTCCGAGTAGAGTGATTATGATAGGCTCTGTTAGCAGCTAATGTGTTTCTATTTCGATAGATATATGTACAAGCTTCCATTATGTATACTGCTAGCGTTAATAATTTCAAATTCTGAAAAGTTTCTCTACAAGAATCTCTATAGCCCAACTTAGCAATGATCCTAATAGCATACTTTTGTATATACAAAACACACGAGATACGGTAGAGAATGTGCCCCAGTTAAGGATGCCATATCTAAGATGCGAATTGAAGTTTGCATAATAGACAGTTAATAAAATACTTTGACCACAATGGTGGGAGAGAAACCTAAGAGAATAACAGGCTTTTCCAAGTTTATTACATAAGTGGTCAATATGTGTCCTCCATTGAAGTTTGTCATCAAAAACAACACCCAACATTTTATTTTTGGCTTCATTCAACATTAAATTGTTTTTCTTTGACCACATAATAACTTTTTTGTAGGTCTCAAGAGCTGTGTTTTTCGCGGAGTCCATATCGTTTTCAATAATTGATATATTAGTATCATCAGCATAACACGTACAGTGAATGGCCGAGTTCTTATTTAGATACACTGACAAGTCATTGGCAAAAGCTACTGTGGTACTTAGTACCACAGGGATCCATTCACAGGGATAGTACCTTTCAGTACTTAGACTTTTTAAAACTTTGACTATTTGACTTCTTTTATATAAATATGAGTTTAGTAAGGATAGGGGTATTCCTCTTAGTCTTACACCATATCTTGAGAGTTTGTCAAGCAAAAGATTATGGTTCACACAATCGAAAGCCTATGAAAAGTCAATAAATAATCCTAAAACACATTTTTTTTGTCTAGAGCACTTACTATTCGATTTTGATATTCACACAGTGCTGTATCAGTGCTTTTTTTCTTAGTGAAACCATGTTGTGAGGGCGATAACAAGTTATTTGTTATGAAATAGGATTCCAATTGTTCTTTTATGTTAATTTCATAAAGTTCAGAGATACTTGAAAGAATTGCTCTATAGTTATCCATATTGTTAGGATCACCTTTTTTAAAAATAGGAGATACACTAGCAAGTTTAAGATTGGTCGGAAAGATGCCTTTTGAGGTTGAGAGATTAATTAAAAAGGTCAGGACACCACATAGTTCACTAGAGCAAATTTTCATTATTTTATTGGAGATTCCATATTGACTGAGAGACGTTTTTCCTGCTACCTGTAAAAAATGTCGATGAACGCGACTTGTAACATGAGTTGTTCAGTTTGTAACCTTATCCGTTGATGTTATTGAATAAAAATATTTATAATTATCCACGTCTCAATTGTTCAACACAAAAGTTGAAATTTATCTTGTAGGTAGGATCCAATATGTGAAATATGGAAGTTCTGTCTTTGAGCTAGTCAAAGTATCATAGGTTTGTGCCAGGATTTCATAGCTTATTTTTTAGAAAAAACCTTTATATTCCCAATTCTTCGTCATACCTAATCTGTTTCAATCCTATCACAATTGTTTGGAGTAGAAACTGAATGAGAAATAGTGTTTTCCATGCAAATCATTGTTCATATATTTGAAATTAGTTATTTTACTTGGGTTTTCTCTTCTAGGTTTTATCTGGATGAAACTTTTGGGCATGATTTACACATCTTTGCTAAGAGTTTTCATCAAAGTATTCAATTTTTTCTTCTTTTCTTCAGAAGTTTTTCTGCTCTACAATTGTGAAGAAGAAAAGAAAGAAGAAAGAAAGGTTTTTTCCCAAAAACTAATATCTCTAATCAGTTAAATGTATATATTTGTTCAAAATCCTTCCTTTTTTGAAAGATTCCAGGATTGTTAGATGCTCTGAGCAGGCCAGGAGGAGTCTGTTCCAATTACTCACCAAAATATGTTGACAGAACTTTTGAAGCCCTGTCGGTTCTTGATGGGGGAAATGCTATTTTCACTTTTCCCAATTCTCCAGTGAAATGTCCAGGAGCTCCCCAAAAAATATGCTATCTTGTGGATCACTATTTGAGGTTGGTAAGTTATTCATCACATGAATGTAATAAACCAAATACGTAATAACTGGCATTTCAGAATAAAAAGAGAGAGAAAGTAAATATAATGTACAATACGTCCTTGCCTGTGATTTTTGGGGTGAAGAAGTATGCAGATGCCTTGTGGAAAGTCTGCAAGGAGCGTGACATAAATGTAAACTTGAGAACAAACTTAATAAGTATCGACTCTGATAAACAACAAGCCATGTTTGAGAACTTAGATAAACCCGATATCAAAACCATGGTAGAAGTAAGTACGATAGTTCTTTGCAGAATTCAGGGATTTCTATTAATATTATTGTAGTATTCAATGCTTCATGTAACACCACCTATGTCAACTCCAGAATGTTTGAATCAGAACAAAGATCTCACAAATGAAGCTGGTTTTGTTGATGTTGATAAGTCAACCTTACAACACTTGAGATACCCCAATATTTTTGCAATTGGGGATTGCAGTTCGTCACCAAATTCGAAGACTGCAGCAGCTGCAGGTATGCAATAATCTTCAACAGATTATTTCTTTATTTATTAATTTATAGGTACATGTCCAATATACATACGCACACATTTACCAAAAACTTAACAACGAATACAATGAGAAATAGTTAAAATGTAAATTATATAAATATACATTATAACTGTAAATTTCATAAATCACTGAAAGGCATTATAGTTTAGATGAGTTTCATTCAACACCTTTTTTTTATTTCTTTTCAACATTTTTCTATACTATTTTTGATATTTTCAACTTTTCTTGTATTGTCTTATGTTGTAATGTCTCTCTCCAATTTACATATGTATTTTATGTAAAAAAACTAATTAATACAGTTTATTGTATGATTTTAGCAAATGTGGA